CTGTGACTCCATCCTGGAGAGAAATATCAGCTGTGCTGCTGCCATCAACACCTTTGTTTCTAGATGTTGGAGCTTGGCCTGTTTTCCAATGTAGTCCTGTTTCTCTGACTGACTAACTGGATGTGATATAAAAAAAAAATGATCTGAATCTGATGTAGAACAGTTTTAGTGGCTCGCTGGAGCAGGCCGAGCTGCCATTGTGGAACAAAGCTAAGACTCTAGCTAATGTGCTAATTAGCCTTGTAAAGCTAAAGCTTGCGTTTCCTTTTCCGGAAGACGGGGTTAACAGCCAGACCATGAGGCTGCTGTGGGTGATGTTTCTGAGGCTGTAGCAGCCCTGATTTTAAACCGGGGCTCTGTGACCATTCTAGCGTCCCTTCCAGCCACAACGGGTTTAGCGCTAGCTTAACAGCATGTGGTCATAAAGCTAACTGTACACAAACTGATCCTGTCCCTAAAACGTTTCCACAGATCCATCAGAGAGGGACCATTAAAACTTCCCAAATGAACCATGGAGATGTTCCGATCCAGAGAGAGGAGTCCTGGAATCAGCGGTTCAGAGATTAGAAAGGAAATCAAAATTACACTGATGTTGAAGTTGATGACTTTTTGTTCTCGAATGGCGGCTCCTCCGAAGAGTTTTCCATCGTCTTCTTCGTCTGAAACGTGAGGTAGGGCCACAGGAAGCTCTCCTGTGCTGTCTGCAATCATCTTGCATTTCTGAAACAGAGAAAGTTTAAACCACTTCATCATTTTTCCACAGTCTGAGATTTTCAAACTTGTTAGCTTTTCACTATTAGCTGAAGAAAATTTATTTTTCTCTATTAGTAGCATAACATATATATATATATATATATATATATATATATATATATATATATATATATATATATATATATATGTATACACTATTTTTTTTGCATCATTGTTTAGTATTAGTATTTAGCATCACTGTCAACATCATTGTTTTGCATTACTGTTTAGTTTCAGTTGTTAGCATAACTCTGTAGCCTCATTTTTTACATCATTGTTTAGCTTGTTAGCATCACCGTTAAGCATTACTGTTAACATTCACTTGTTAGCATCACCGTTTAGCATTACTGTTAACCTTCA